CTGGCTGTGAACATTCTAAACTAACACGAGTCTCATTAAGTGTCCAGTTTAAGGGTATTACACAGAAACATACTAAGGGAACATGAATCAAATATGTATCTTTATTCATTTACAGTAAACTCATAAAGTACATCATTCTGATTGAAACTAAGGGCATACAAAACTGTCTAACACTCTCTCTCTTCTTCCCCTTCCCTTTTTTCTCCTCTCCTTTCTTCTTTCTGATTTCCTTTGTTTTCCGTTACTTGCACATAGAGAACAGACAGCAGAACGATGAAAAACAGACAGAATCTACTTTCCAGCGTTTCATGAGATCTTCTAGTTCTAATCGTTTATACACAATTGACTGACGTTCTGGATCATAACCTTCTTCCAATAATATTGTAGGAATAGGCAATTCTCTTTCATTTCCCATAGAATTCTTTGCTGGTTGTACTAATTTCAAAACCTGTGGGAACTGGATGGAAGCACAAGGATCACAGCTATAAAAAACCGAACAAATTAATGAATAAACACTCAAAAATCAAAATATAGCCAGTGCAGCTAATCTGGAATTCTGGATTGACTTACTTGTCGGATGTGCTCAGCCGTGCATCCAGCTGCCATCAAGCCAGAACTAATAAGTTGATGCTCGTAATCTCCTTGCCAGCGTTCAGCTTTGCTTATTCTGATCAAGGCCTCGTCAGCTGGTGATGAGGTTCAAGAATCATTTGTACGCTGAAAACAAGCAAAACAGATGATATCAGAATGCCAGTATTAGAATTTAGACATATCTAATCTAGCGACTGTTTTTTGTTGTTGTTTTTTTCTACTTCTTTACCTCTTCTTTTTGATTGTTCAAGAAATTAGGTGGTCTGGTCTCTCTTACAAGAACCCAAAAGCCAAAAAAAAAATGGACTTCGAAAGCACACAGAACTCATCATCTCTACCTATTTCAAACCACATGACCAAAAGCCAATATTAAAAGTGGGTTGTTCACTTTGATTAAATAGAAAATGGATTATGCCCCCGGAACCCAAAACCACATATGGTAATCTCTCTCTCAGACAACCAACAAAATTTAAAGCTCGATGCATCAATGGGTCCTGCGGACAAAAGAATTCCAACTCAGAAGAGCCATTAAAACGAAAGAACTAAAAAGCCAAAAGAGTCTTGAGCAGAGAAGTAGAGATCCATGGATTTATTACTTAATCTAGAGAGAAGAGCCATAAAAGAGTGTAAAAATAAGCAGATAAGGAAAAACATTACTCTGGGATTGGAGGGCCCATCTCCTTCTGTTGCAGGCTTTGGAGGGCCACTCATTTCTGTTGCAGGCTTTGGAGGGCCCATCTCCTTCTCTCTCTTCTCTTCCTAGCATCCCTTGCCTTCCCCAACTCTCTGTTGGGTTTTCCTATTATGTGGAGGATGGTCCAAGAAGCCTATGTGGTATTTTTGAGCCCATGGATGAGGGTATTTTTGTCCAAATGAAAATAGTCAAAGGAAATAACATTTTAGTGGTGTTGACTGCTAAAAGAAGAATAAAAAGAAAGAAAAAGTAGAGAATCTCGTATAAAAACAAAGAAGAGAAAAGGAACAGACTTTTCGAATTCCAGCCTGTGCAGTTTTCATCTTGTGCTTCGATCGAAGATCGTTAGTGGTCCGATTGAGCTGAAATTTTGCAGGCATGTTCACGACGTAAGGTTCTTCAATCTGAATGGTGGAGATCTGGTTTGGCTAACTGTTTGTGAGATCTGAGTCCGTGAACAATACCTCTGTTTTGGGTGAGATTTCTCCATTTTCTTGAGATATTTGTTAGTTTCCAAGAAATGTATTTTCTTGATGATTTGCTGATTGTATGCCTCTAGTTTTATCTAGAAAGAACCCTTGTACAATTACTTTCTCGATAATAGAAGTTTTTTGGTGACCGTGGTTTTTTCATTCCCACACCGGGAAGGTTTTTCCACGTAAATTTGATTGTGTTCTTGTGTGTTGCTCTTTGGTTTTAAGCTCTACTAAATTGTTTCCTAATAGATTCACACAAAGAGAGAGAAAAATATTATTTCCGTTGTTTTGAAACTTGGTTAAAATTTGCTTGATTTCGTGATTCTCCCTACAGTCTCATTATATGCTTCTCTGCAATCATCACAACCAAAGTATCTGGAATCTCCCTGTTCAAATCGATGTTCATGGCAAATGTTTACAGCACCAGTTTTCAGAGAAAGGCTTTACTTTTTTTTAGCTCTTTTAATTAGAAAACAAGCCAATAAGGTGAGAAAGAAAAAGATAAGAGATAGAGTGAGTAGCAATAGCTGTACTTTTGGTAAGGATGAGAAAGAGGGAGATAGAGAGAGAAATGGAGGAATTATGTAAGCAAACACCAAATTACTATGTTCTCCATCCTTCTGTTGTCTGTTCTCCATCCTTCTACTGTCTGTTCTCCATCTACAAGGAACAAAAAATAGAGGAAATCGGAAAGAAGAAAGGGAAGGAGAGAAAGGGGAAGGGGAAGAAGAGAGATCGGGGAAGAGAGAAAGAGAGGGGGAGAGAGGGAGGTCTTTAACAGAAGTCCGCCGCCACTGCAACAGCTACCACCGCTGAATAATTCATGTATCGTGAGGTCAAGGAAGATGAACAGTATTTTTTTCTCAATTAATAATTATTATAAGGGTAGTATGGGGATTAAAAAATACTGTAAGGGCAGATTTTAAGGAAAGCTAACGAAGGGTCTTTGTCACATGGTCATAATACAAGGGATCTTTGTCACAAAATAAAGTATAGGG